TGCTATGTCAAGAAATCCCCTCACGACACAAGACAAGATCAGGGAAGACAATACGAATCGGAAATTATTCAAACCATATGTCAGACTTAATATCAAAAAGAAAAGAACCACACCTTATCACCTTCGTGGGAATGGTATGGTCAAAAAATGTAACAAAACTCTTAAAGAACAGTTGGCTATGAGGAGGAGGAAGATGAGGAGGAGGTGGTGGAGGTACCGGTGGATGAGAACCTGTTCTCTTACATGACAATGATGATGAATGGGATCACTATTTACCAGCAGTGGTTCTCTCCTATAATTCAACTCCACATTCTAGCACTGGATACTCTCCCTATTTTATTGCTCATGGTAGGGAACCTCGTATTCCAGCTAATGTCACTTTGTCTACGCCTTATGTATCTCAGACTCCACAGAACTATGGCTCTGAACTGGTGAAACGGCTTGACACAGTTTTCCAGTTTGTTCGTTCTCATCGTGAGGATCAGAGACTCAAATGTGAGTACTACTTCAACAAACATGTCAAGTTTAAACCTTATGAAGTTGGAGACTTTGCTTGGATGAACACAGAGAAAGAAACTTGATCCTAACTGGACAGGACCTTACAAAGTTGTGTCTACAGAAAACAAGGGACTCACTTACAACCTTTTGGATTTAAGACATCCTCAAGCTGGATCAAAAGTGGTTCACTATGATCGATTAAAACCTTACAGGTCTACTTGGGACATATCTTCAGTACCAGACACCTGGACAGTTCCTAAACGGCCTCTGGACACAGACTCGCTCAGGACGGGTTGTTCGAAAACCACAGCGACTTTTGCTGTGAAAAAGTTTGAACATGTTAAACAAAAACAAACAAACAAAAAAAAACGGATGTTTGTTTCAGAATTTCCTGAACTGTTTACTATCACACAAGTGTTATTATTGTTCTACGTAATTCACAAATTCTAAGTTTAGATTTTGCACTTTATATTTAGTGTCGAATTGGATAAAGCAAAGGTTTTTTTCATGCAATAAGATTATTTTAAGACCTATGCATATTTGTCTAAAATGTGCCTGGTTTTCTACTGCCTTTGTCAGCACAGCTAGACGTGTTTTTTTTCAATTGTGTTTTATATGGGATGGGATTTATTTTTGTTAACCTTTGAAATGAGGACATTTCATCTGAACAAAGGGAAGTATGTAAGATGGAGATGAGATTTATTTTTGTGAAGTTTATTTTATAGATCTTTATTTTTCTTAGGTTGAGATAATATACATTATTTGATTTAATGCTAATTTCATTTATATTTACAATTTGTACTTTACAAGAGTATCTGTTTGATATGATGCACTGTGCCTTTAAGGTTACCCATGGTTACGGTTTGAGGAGTGATATTGCTTTAAGACAAGTAAGGTGTCGCTGTTGTTGTTGTTGAGTCTGGATATGTCATGCTCGGTTACGGACGGACATTAAACGTATGAGACGCACAGCAGAAGTTGTTCCTGTACTTTTACTTACCCACACCCTAATATATATATTTAATTAAGTATGTTTAGTGTTATAGTTAACGGCAAGACAACTGAGGATAATCAACATCATCCAAGAAGCGCTGTTACACTAGTGTTGCTTGTTTCCCTTGTGTGTTTTTGTCCTAATGTTTCATAGTTTAGTCTTTAGTGTTTTGTGTGTTATTTTGTAACTTCGTACCCTAGTGTTTCTTTATGTTCTAGTGTGTTTTTGTTACTTTCTTGAGTTCTCTGTGTATCTTAGTGTTTCTTGATTTTTGTTCTATGTCGAATGTTAGTATCAGTCTATGTCGGTCGTCAGTCTCTCCTTGTGCTTCCCCGTGGCTCCTTGTTTTTTCGTTTTGGATTTCGATAGTAAGTTTTTGTTTGCCTTTTTTTGATTATTAAATACTTTCTATTCTGCACTTGGGTCCAGCTCTCCTTGTTTCCCAACCATTCATGACAATCAGAGGCAGCCGCAGACATGTTTCCTTCTGACTCCTATGACTTTCTCTCACCCAATCACTAAAGAGCTCTCATTGCTCATGGCAAAAAAAAAAAAAAAAAAACCAACGGACGCTCTGACGGGTGGCAACCCCGATGACTCTCAGTTAGCATGCCATGCAGGCTATGCTAACATGCTAACAGGACAGTTAGACAGCAGAGTGAGGAAGGATATTCTGTCCTCTTCAGACAGGACTGAGGGTCTCTGAGTGAGTTCAGTGTAACTCAAACAGTGTAATGTTGGAGCTGCAGCTCTGAAACATGAGAGGAGCTGAAACACGAGTCACACTGAGCGACTGTCAGCTTTTATTCTTCATGTGTCAAACACACCAATCATGAAAGAGTCAGTGTGATGTTCAGGAAGTGTTTGCAGTCTGCAGTCAAAGTACAAAAGTACTTAGTTCTACGTCTCAGTTCTGCTTTGAGACATTTCTCAGAGTAAAGTTGGATCACTTTGACTTCTGTTGTAAAGATATTAGAAGTTAAACTACACAGTGTGAGTGTTGGACTGTAATCTGATATATGAGAAGATTATTATTCCTGATGTGTTCATGTGTATGATCAGGGCTGGACTGACCATCTGACATACCATGTATTTTCATGAAGGGCCGACGCACCTTGTGACTGATGAAGTTAACTTTTAACACCCGGCCCCTAAAGCAGGGACAGCTGTTCATTGGTTGGTGGAGCTAGGTAGACATAAAGCTGCACCCCCACGCCCCCCACCCCTTCCTCTCTGGGTTAAAGGAAGTGAGTCAACGTCAGGAAACCACTTCTACACTGAAAGAGGAAGTGGAGGAGGGAGAGGGACGACTCTCTTGGGCTCGCTCCACCTCTCACTCACTGTGCACGCCATGACAGCAGGAGGACAGGAGAAATGTCAGAGCATTCAGATCATTACAGATAAAAAAAAACAGTGGAGAGGGTGAGAAGTTAAACCCTGAAGTAACATGAGAATATTTATTAATGACATCATACGTTTCTTCATACAGACAGACAGACAGACAGACAGACAGACAGACGCACTGCTGACAGACGGAGGGGCAGACGGACAAAATTTTGACTCAAAGATTGACGCTCACTTCTGTGTTACCTCATAGCATGGCATAGCGGTCAAAACAGTGTATGTGCTCTCTCCGTCCAGCAACACCTGAAACCCCAGTGAAAGTTCCTGCCTATAAAGAGTATCACCTTAACCCAAAGGTGACACCTGCTGGAACAACTTGTGTCTTACACTTCATTCTCCTAAACATTGCTCCTACACAGACTATAATCTGGCATATCCATAATCGATGCGTCCCTAGTTTTAACATATTCTTCTGCAGCAGTACCTACAAACATGCAGCCAAAAAATGACTAATGACCTACTCATGGCAGCTGACTCCGGACTTTAACCATCCTCATCCTCGTTGAGCTCAGTGCAGCCTTCGACACCATCTCCCATCACACACTCCTTGACAGACTTGCCTCCATTGGAATCACTGACACACCCTTGCACTGGTTTTCATCCTATCTCTCTGGTCACACTCAGTTCACTCAACTCGGAACCTTCAAATCCCAGCCATTTCCAGTCACTACCGGTGTTCCTCAGGGTTCTGTCCTGGGCCCCCTTCTGTTCATCATCTATCTCCTTCCTTTTGGCCACATCTTCCGTAATTATAAAATCCAGTTCCATTGCTATGCAGATGACACCCAGCTCTACCATCCATCAAACCCACCTCCTCCCTCCCGCCCACTTCCCTGACTGATTGCCTGCAAGAATTCAAATCCTGGTTCACCTGCAACTTCCTCAAATTAAACAGTGACAAAACCGAGCTTCTCCTCATCGGCACCAAATCAACAATCTCTAAACTCAACAGTTTTTCTCTGGCTATTGACCACTCCTCAGTTTCTCCCTCCCCTCAGGTTAAGAGTCTGGGTGTCATCCTAGACAGCACACTATCATTCCAAGCTCACATCAATAATGTCACCCGGTCTGCTTATTTCCATCTACGTAACATTAATCGCCTCCGCCCGTCCCTCACTCCCAGCAGTACTGCCATTCTCGTCAACACCCTGGTTACATCCCGCATTGACCACTGCAACTCCCTTCTCTTTGGTTTCCCTCTCAAGTCCATCCACAAACTTCAACTGGTCCAGAACTCTGCCGCTCGCATCATCACCAGAACGCCCTCTGTTAATCACATCACCCCTGTCCTACAGCAGCTTCATTGGCTCCCGGTTAAACATCGCATCACCTTCAAAATTCTGCTCCTCACCTTCAAGGCCATCCACAACCTCGCTCCGCTTTACCTCTCTGAACTCCTGCACATTAACACACCTACCTGCACTCTCAGGTCTTCTTCTTCCATTCAACTCACTGCACCACCTGCCCGCCTGTCCACCATGGGGGTCCAGGGCCTTCAGCCGCTCTGCCCCCCAAATCTGGAACTCCCTCCCACCACAAATCCGTAATATCGACTCTCTCTCCATTTTCAAATCTCATCTCAAAACACATCTTTTTAAACTGACATATTCAGTCTGATCATTCTCCACCAGGTCTCATAACTCCTTTACATCCTGTACATTTGTGTTTTTTTTTGTTTTTAATGTTAATTCTATCGTTGTGTTGTTACTTTGTTGTTTTTATCTCTGCTCTGTAAGGTGACCTTGAGAGGTTTTTTTTAAAGGCTCCTTTAAATAAAATGTATTATTATTATTATTATTATAGGTGGCGGGGGGGGGACATACTGCAGTGTGTGAATGTCAGGGGGCTGAAAGGATGGTGTGCTCATGGATCACAGGAATGGATTGAAGGGTCCAGTCCAAATACAGGACTGTTTATTTTTGTCCCAGTCAATCTCCATGGACAACCAGTTTAACTGTGAAGATTCTGAAAAGTTTCATATGAAGATGTAATAACTCTTTAATGATCGTTCTTCTCAGACTGCAGCTCTCCCAGCAGGGGGCGCTCTGCTATGGATCAGTGTGAGGACACAGAGGAGGGAGTCCCTCCTTCTAAAACCTCTCTGTGTGAGGAACATGAAGCTCTGAGGTGAGGATCTCTAACTGTCCATGACCCTTCTCCGTGTCACAGCTCAGTGCTCACATCACTCCACCTTCATCATCATCACCATTATCATCATCATCATCACCATCACCATCACTATCACCATCACCATCACCATCACCAGCATCAGCATCAGCATCAGCATCAGCATCAGCATCAGCATCAGCATCATCATCACTGTCTCATCTGCTGCTCACAGTAACTAATAATGTTGTTTGTTTGTATCAGGATGCAGGAACAGAGACCAGACTCTCCTGGACCCAGCTGTGTGTCCATGAAGAGTGACCAGTCTAAAGATGTTATGAGAAACTTTAAAGATGGAAGTCCTGCTGATGGGAGGTGAGATCTGAAATTGACAAAGAGCTCTGCTCTGCTTTTCTGTAACTCTTTCATCCTCAGCCATTTACATGCCTCTCAGTCTTCAGTCCATGTTCACCTCTCCCAGGACTCGTACTTTCCTCCTGTCTCTCCTACTTCTCCGACAGAGGTCCTCAGAATTCACCTCCTTCTCCTGTCTTCATTTTCCTCATCAGCTTCATTTAGTTTTCTTACCACTTCATGATCATTGTGTGCTTTGGTTCTATCTTGTGTTTTTTTAATGATTATAAAAATAATCATTTTATTGCAGCTGTGAGTCCATTTATTTCTGCTTTTGGGTCCTTCCCTGCGCCCTATTTCCCAGACACTGTCAGAACTTAACCTGCCTGACTACTAGAAAGAAGCCAAGTATTCTTAGACAAAGTCAACAATAATAATAATAATAGGCCAACCCTTAAAAAGAGACAAATCTAAGGAAAGATTTATTTTTGGGCTTTTTGTTCCGTTATTTAGAGACGGGACAGTAGATAGAGTCGGAAATGAAGGAGAGAGAGAATGGGGAATAACATGCATGAAAGGAGCCACAGGTCGAATTTGAACCCGAGCCACCCGCTTGGAGGGCTACAGTCTCCCTACATGGGACACACACACTAACCACTAGGCCACCAGCTCCCCAATTAAAGCATTTTTATTGAATGAACATTTTTATTTTTCCCTCAGGTAGAATTAAAGTCCTCTCCTTCCTCACTCCCGATGATGACCAAAACAAACAGATATACTGTCCACAATATCAAACTTCATTCACAGAGAGTCTGCTTCTGCACGTCAATTTGAAAGCATGCACCATCAAGGATGAGAGCAACGGTTTTAATAACTGTGATTAGAGGATTATGGTCCACAAGGTGGATGTTGGAGGTCCTGACTTTGTCCACAGCCCAGATCCTCAACCTGATGAGGTTCTGCTGGTGAGATGTTGGGCATTGGAAGCTTCAGGTCAATTCACTAACCTACCTGGTCCATACATCCTGCTGATCCAGCTGACCATTGTACTGATATCTGACTACACTTTCTCCTGGACTACATAGTTTAATACTTTGATCCTTGTTTTAGTGAATAGTACCTGAGTCCAGCTTAGGTACATTTAGTACATCAGGGATAATGTCATGGTGGTATACTGAACGTTTGGTCCAGTGATCTTGGCTGGACACTGGTGAGCAGATGTATCATGAAGACTGCAGACAAAGATCTTCAATGCTCTTGAGGGTTTTTTACAAACCTGTTAGGATCCATATACAGGACTGACTCACATTGTAAAAACTACTGTGATGGTGCAAGCAGCACTTATTCCCATCTGAAGTGGTGTCAGTCTGAAGACTTTGTCCCAGAAGTGAGTTCCAGGTTGAGGTTCCTGAAGTTGTTATGGACAAGTCCTTGATCTGGATCTGTTCTGTATCCTAATAGTAGTTGCTGCTCGTGGTACCTACAGTCTCTAAATGTACTATGGGAGGTAGAGCCTTCAGTTATCAGGCTCCTCTCCTCTGGAATCATCTTCCAGCCAGGGTATGGGAGGCAGACACAATTTGTACTTTTAAAAATAGACTTAAAACTTTCCTTTTTGATAAATCTTATAGTCAGGCCTGGCACAGGTGTAGACCAGCTCCTAGTTATGCTGCTATAGGCTTAGACTACCGGGGGAACTGGCACCTTGAGCTCCTATCTCTCCTCCCTCTCTCTCTCTCACTCTGTGAGATCATATTACTGCATGTTGTTGTCTGTAAATCTCAGTTACTAACCACAGCATCTTTCTGAGCTGTGTTTATGTTTGAGTCTTCTTCTGTTAACTTTAATTTCATCAGTCTAAAGAATCTGAGGACAGACACAGTGTTGGCTGTATTATGAGTGAGATACTGTTCTAATAGAAACAGAGAGAACTGTGGAGAACTTCACCTCTGCCTCCTGATTACTGATTATCCATCTGCTAGTTTGAACTGGAACAATCTGATTAAAAATTATCTTTATTCGTCATGCTTTTATTAACCAGCTGTTTGTTTGTCTCAGAATGCAGGAACAGAGACCAGACTCTCCTGGACCCAGCTGTGTGTCCATGAAGAGTGACCGGTCTATGGGTCGTTTTTTTGAGTTTAAAGATGGACGTCCTGCTGATGGAAGGTGAGAATTAAAAATGAAGTAAATGTTCTGACTCTGTTGTTTAAAGACTCATATCTTGGCTCAGAGCTTCATAATATATCCCATTGTTTTCTTGTGTAATATGTCCTGTCACAGAGTTCAACAGGAGAGCTCCAATGCTCACAAAGATCAATCAGACCAGCAGAATCCAACAGACCTGGACTACATCTTTATGGTGTTTGCAACACACTGTTAATTAATATACTACTATCACAAGAATGTAATTCTAAGTTATTGTTCTGTTTAGAACCAGCTGAACTTCGGACTGACAGATGAATCACATGTTGAGTTCTACCAGTGTATATTAAATCTCCAGTGTTTCCTTCTGTTCCAGCTGCTGGAGGAGAACATCATCATCTTTGTGAAGAACGAGCTGAAGAGAGTGCAGAGGGTTCTGAGTCCAGATTACCCAGAATGCTTAAAGAGTCAGAGTGAGGATGAAGAGCAGGGGAGAAGCTATAAAGAGGCATTTTTGAAGATCGCTCTCCACTTCCTGAGGAGAATGAAGCAGGAGGAACTGGCTGACTGTCTGGAGAGCAGTAAGAACATTTGAACAGATTTAGTATTTTAGAAAAAGGACAAAGAGGTTTAAAATTCCAAAATCAGATAGTCATGTGATCTATATCAGGATCTGTTCATTGAGTTCTTTCTTTATTCAGGAACAGTCGCTGCAGAGTGCTGGCGTAAACTCAAATCTGACCTGAAGGAGAAGTTACAGTGTGTGTTTGAGGGGATTGCTAAAGCAGGAAACCCAACCCTTCTGAACCAGATCTACACAGAGCTCTACATCACAGAGGGAGGGACTGGAGAGGTCAATGATGAACACGAGGTCAGACAGATTGAAACAGCATCCAGGAAACCAGACAGACCAGAAACAACCATCAGACAAGAAGACATCTTTAAAGCCTCACCTGGAAGAGATGAACCAATCAGAACAGTGATGACAAAGGGAGTGGCTGGCATCGGAAAAACAGTCTTAACACAGAAGTTCACTCTGGACTGGGCTGAAGACAAAACCAACCAGGACATACACTTCACATTTCCATTCACTTTCAGAGAGCTGAATGTGCTGAAAGAGAAAAAGTTCAGCTTGGTGGAACTTGTTCATCACTTCTTTCCTGAAACCAAAGAAGCAGGAATCTGCAGATTTGAAGAGTTCCAGTTTGTGTTCATCTTTGATGGTCTGGATGAGTGTCGACTTCCTCTGGACTTTAAAAACAACAAGACCCTGACTGATGTCACAGAGTCCACCTCAGTGGATGTGCTGCTGACAAACCTCATCAGGGGGAAACTGCTTCCCTCTGCTCGTCTCTGGATAACCACACGACCTGCAGCAGCCAATCAGATCCCTCCTGAGTGTGTTGACATGGTGACAGAGGTCAGAGGGTTCTCTGACCCACACAAGAAGAAGTACTTCAGGAAGAGATTCAGAAATGTAGAGCAAGCCAACAGAATCATCTCCCACATCAAGACATCCAGAAGCCTCCACATCATGTGCCACATCCCAGTCTTCTGCTGGATCACTGCTACAGTTCTGGAGGATGTGCTGAAGACCAGAGAGGGAGGAGAGCTGCCCAAGACCCTGACTGAGATGTACATCCACTTCCTGGTGGTTCAGTCCAAACTTAAGAACATCAAGTATGATGGAGGAGCTGAGACAGATCCACACTGGAGTCCAGAGAGCAGGAAGATGATTGAGTCTCTGGGAAAACTGGCTTTTGAGCAGCTGCAGAAAGGAAACCTGATCTTCTATGACTCAGACCTGACAGAGTGTGACATCAATATCACAGCAGCCTCAGTGTACTCAGGAGTGTTCACACAGATCTTTAAAGAGGAGAGAGGACTGTACCAGGACAAGGTGTTCTGCTTCATCCATCTGAGTGTTCAGGAGTTTCTGGCTGCTCTTCATGTCCATCTGACCTTCATCAACTCTGAAGTCAATCTGATGTCAGAAGAACAAACAACACCCTGATGGGCTAAAGTATTCAGAGAAAAACCTGACCCAACACTTTTCTATCAGAATGCTGTTGACCAGGCCTTACAGAGTCCTAATGGACACCTGGACTTGTTCCTCCGCTTCCTCCTCGGTCTTTCTCTAGAGACCAATCAGAATCTTATACAAGGTCTGCTGACACATACAGGAAGTGGCTCACAGACTAATCAGAAAACAGTCGAGTACATCAAGGAGAAGATCAGTAAGGTTCTGTCTGCAGAGAAAAGCATCAACCTGTTCCACTGTCTGAATGAACTGAATGATCGTTCTCTAGTGGAGGAGATCCAACAGTCCCTGAGATCAGGACGTCTCTCCACAGATAAACTGTCTCCTGCTCAGTGGTCAGCTCTGGTCTTCATCTTACTGTCATCAGAAGAAGATCTAGAGGTGTTTGAACTGAAGAAATACTCTGCTTCAGAGGAGGCTCTTCTGAGGCTGCTGCCTGTGATCAAAGCTTCAAACAAAGCTCTGTACGTGCTCACATAACTATCCAGGTCAAATGTAGCTCTCTTTATTCAGAAATAACAACTATTGTTTGGAATTGATTTCATTTGTGTTCTTTTGAATCCTCTTCAGGCTGAGTGGCTGTAACCTCTCAGAGAGAAGCTGTGAAGCTCTGTCCTCAGTCCTCAGCTCCCAGTCCTCTAGTCTAAGAGAGCTGGACCTGAGCAACAACAACCTGCAGGATTCAGGAGTGAAGCTGCTATCTGCTGGACTAAAGAGTCCACTCTGTAGACTGGACACTCTCAGGTTAGTGTGCAGGTTTTTCAAAATAATGTCATTCTAAGTTCTTAATCACTTCATGTATCAATCAATTTAATGATTGGTTGGAAATCCTCTTCAGGCTGAGTGTCTGTGAGCTCTCAGAGAGAAGCTGTGAAGCTCTGTCCTCAATCCTCAGCTCCCAGTCCTCTAGTCTGAGAGAGCTGGACCTGAGCAACAACAACCTGCAGGATTCAGGAGCGAAGCTGCTGTCTGCTGGACTAAAGAGTCCACTCTGTAGACTGGACATTGTCAGGTTAGTGTGCATCTGATCCAGATTATTCCTCTAAGATCATGTTTTTTAATTAATCATTTATTAAATGGGCCTTGGTGGTTTAAATGTGTAAAGCTCTGAGCTCATTCTATAGCTCTCATTCTATTAGTCTGAGGAAGCTGGACTGGAATAAAGAAAGTTAAAAATGAAGTTCTTTCCCCACCAACAAACAAACCATGGACAATGTTTGGAAAATAAAGAACTAAAGAATCCTTTTTTCAGATGAAACAGTTCAGAACTGTTTCTACATCAAAGTAGTCTCTGTGTTGATCTCACGCTCTGTCTTACCTTCACTATTTGTCAACAGATTAAATATTGATTAGTATCAGATTATGAAGTCTATTCTGTTTAGCTGCATGGTTATGACGAGATGTTACTGGTAAAACTGTGTGTGTGTGTGTGTGTGTGTGTGTGTGTGTGTGTGTGTGTGTGTGTGTGTGTGTGTGCGTGTGCGTGTGTTTATGTGTGTGTTGGTGTTGTGTGTGTGTGTGTGTGTGTGTGTGTGTGTGTGTGTGTGTGTGTGTTTGCGTGCGCGTGTGTGTAGTCTGTCAGGTTGTCTGATTACAGAAGAAGGTTGTGCGTCTCTGGCCTCAGCTCTAAGCTCCTCCCCCCTGAGAGATCTGGACCTGAGCTACAATCATCCAGGAGAACGAGGAGAGAAGCTGCTGTCTGCTGGACTGGAGAATCCACACTGCAGACTGGAGACACTGAGGTACAGACAGACACACAGAAGCTGTCTCACTGTTTCTGAATGATGAACTCTGCTTCTTGTCTGATGCTGGATTTAAATGAAGTATGAAATAGATTCTGATCTGGTTTCTTCCTCCAGGTTCGACCATAGTGGACTGCACAGACTGGATCCTGGTCTGAGGAAGTGTGAGTGTGTTTTCATTTCTCTTCATCAGAACACAGCAGCACATGTTGGATTGTAGAAGAGTAAATGCTCTTGAACAATCAGACAGAGACTATGGCTCGTGAATCGAGGATCTGCTTATTTCTCTCGGAGCAGTTCTTTTATAACATCCCAATCATCCTTTTATGGGCAATCAATACACTGAGTAATTACAACATGTGTGCTATATAAAGACCATTTCCTAGAAGTTTCCTGGACAGACAACTGGTCTCTTAACAGGAAAGAGTGTGTGGGTATGTGTGTACGTGTGTAAGTGTATCAGAACATGATCTTATGAATTAGCTAAATTCAGAGGTTAGATAACTATTGGTTTGTGCCTGTTGCTGTCCAGATTGTGCGTTTCTGTTATGCTTCAACCTTTCAAACTACAACAGGATGAGGGCTGGAAGTAACACAAAGTGATGATCAAAGCGAGGGTGATGGAAACTCATGAGAGTTGAAATATGAAATAAAAAATGTAAACTGAAATAAAAGTGATAATCCAGTGATTACAAAATCACCATTCATCACATCCAACAGAAATGTTTATTTTACAACATGCAGTTTTTGTGACTTTGACATTTCACATTTTGATGTTGGCTGCTGGCCGGCTGCTCCTGGTCGAGCACGTAAACTTTAAAAACAGCAGAAATCATTTTTGATTTGATGTTCATTTTCATAAACATGTAAATATGCAGAGTCTCCAACATCAAGTTCTGTCCTCAAAAACATCCAGACGTGAATTCAGTGATGAAATAGCAACAGAAAATCTGTAGAGACATCAGCTAGCTCTCCTCATCGTCTTCTGGCTGTGCAGACAGTAAGGCACACAGTAAAGTCGACAATCACCATCGGCAGGCCGGCAGAGACAGGCTAGTAAGAAAGCTAGCTAGGTGGCCAGGTGAGGACGGAACGGCGTGGCCTACGCCTTAGACAAGCGGAGAAAAACTCACAAGGACTGAGTTGTCATCTGTCTCTTCAGATTTG